GCATTAAATATGATTTTATTTAGTGAAGATACCGTTCTTAAGCTCACATGTTGATGAACAATCGCTTATCCAGCCTTCTTTCGCCGATGACATAACCCCCGGATACTTTCTGCCTCTGTAGTTTGGTTTTGGTCCAATTGTTACCTCAGCAGTTCCTGTCCCTAGCTTTTCAACGATCATCCCATACAGAGGCATCTACTCAAGCTTCCCACATTTTAGTTACTATACGTTATACTTTTCTTTTTCCATCTTCCCTCTCACGGAATCGTTTAACAATGGTGCATTGCCACTCCGTCTTCCCATCCTCTTACAATTTTACACTGTTTAGATGCCGAATCATTGAATCGATTCTTCCTTGATGGGTACCCCACACTCCCCAATGTCTTTTGGCTAAATGGTTTTCCCAAATACGTTGGTTCGCTTTGGGCATAATAAAGCCATTAGACGACCACTGATGTCCTCAAATTCCGAACGATCAAGGATACGCCACGATAACTCTCACTGCAGTAGAGGTAACACCTTAGTGTAGCTTGGATAAAATAATATTCCAGATTGTGGTCGTCAGATTTATCCAATAATTCCCGGGTTGGTTTCGTAGTTCATAAAATGCTTTCCAAAATTTATTGTTCAAGAAAAATTGACGTTTGATCCTTTCGCCCAGCCGTGCTGATATCCTAACACGGTTAAAAGACCCCATAAATTTTCAATTTTTTTCTACATCGTTCTTTAAACGCGTATAATTATTTGCAACTTGTTGCAGGCTAAAACACCAAAAAGTGTGAGCAAGGCTCGTGGATTTGCTCGAGGTCTCAAGGCTGAACGGATTATTGGTGCCACCGACTCCAGCGGTGAACTCATGTTCCTGATGAAATGGTTAGTTATTACGTGACTGATAGTCCTTCTACTGTTTGCAATTATTTGGCAGAGAAACTTCCGTTTCATTAAATCACAGCATGTATTTATTGTCGCCAGAGCTATACCGGCCCGCTTTAGCCATTTAAACTTCCGCGTTGAACTGCCCGTTGCGATTGATCCGCTGACTGCCTGATCGCACTTTGAGTTCATGTAACGCTTGTGCCCGTCCCTAGCTTACCTTCACGCTCATCGGTGTTTAGGCAGACTACATCTGTACGTACCGCCAATGACCAAACTGCCCAGTTTCTGGTTATTTACGTAGTTCACCGGGGCACAGGAGTTTGAATCAGCGTTTTTAGCCGACTAACCACGTCGAAATGTCATGTTAGAGGTTCACCGGCCTCGATCATGTCCCCGGATGTTGGCCTTTCATCTTCCCTTGGGCGGAAATGCCCACACGTATAGGCAGTGAAAAGGATGGCGCGGACTGTTTCAGTCACCTGCTATTGTGAGAGTATTTCACAGGGTGCAAGCCTAAGGTAAAATACAACTACCCCGATCACACCGAGGCTATTGGAGGCACTCCCTTATGAACTGTTTACTTTTTAGAACGCCAATGGATCGGTCTACTTGAAGGCAGTATCATTTGACATCAAATTCTAGTGAATGCCTACTAGTATTTGACCTACGGTGTGGAGATCGATTTACTGTACTGATCTTTGCTTTGCAATTTCAGGAAAGATTCAGACGAGGCTGACCTTGTTCCCGCTCGGGAAGCCAACATCAAATGCCCTCAGGTGGTGATTCGATTCTACGAGGAACGTTTGACGTGGCACACTCCTGAAAGCAGAACGTCGACTGGTGGATCTCGACCAGCATCCACGACACCAAACGCGACAGCGGGAGCTGCGCGATCTTGAGTATACCCCTTTTTCTATCCTGAGGCTTGCGATGCTTAATTTGCTTCGCGTCTATTCGCATTTGTCCAGTCGCCATCCATATTTTATTATTCCTACCATTGTCTCGTATCCACAGATAACTGTAAAAATCCACATTGCCCCATTTTTCTATTATCACAGATGTATTTCAAACTTTCAGTGTCGTTTGATAGATACTTGAAAATATATACGGGTTTTTCAACACATTTGGTTGATTTGCGGCTCCGTTAGCTTAGCAATCTGGCTATTTTCCTAAGTAAACGATCAGCTCCCGTTCTCTATTAATTCCCCCCAACAACATCGGCATCGAGTTTATATAGAAGTGAGAAAGGACAATGGTATCGAGTGTGGTGATCAGCTGGGACTGCTATGATCACGGCAAAATGTGGAGTAGTGAATGCCGCTAGGATATGCACGTTCATTAGGTTGTTTGAATCGCGCGCTTTGTTGCTTATGTGTTGTGGTTCGTCCTGTATCGCGCCAAAGTTAAGTGCGGTAGTGGGTTCCGTTCGAAATTAGATTGAGAGCGTGCAAAACGGTAATTAGTGAGGTTGTATAGGAGTCGTACAATTGAGATGAAAGCTGTTGTTGTTGTAGGCTTTGATTGTTCTGGTCAGCATGGTTGTGTATGGACGAGAATATCGGCTACAAATTTGGATGAGTACGCAATAGAAAGACAATGAAACCGGAATTAGCGGATTCCGAGCAGAGTTGTGGCCTCTACTTCATTGCGGAACTCCTATGGTCACTGCATATTAGCGGATTCACCGGAATCTAACTTGGTGAACGGTGTTTAGGCCGTATTTCAACAGAGATCGGCACGAATACTTGAAAACTTTGGCAGTCCAACTCTCGAGCGGCTGCACGTATGCGGTGCATATTCCAGCTGATTCTACCGTGCTGTGATATACGAAAAGTCTTATATATATAGATATACATAGGCCTCCATGACCCTGCGAGCTAGACAGGATAGTTCACAGACGCAATTCCAATCATGCCTGAAAGGTCATGGGGTAGAGACCGGGCGAAGCTCACTCCCACAAGGCCGGTTGCGTGGGCATTTGGCCTCATCCCTGGAGAAAACGCTCCCGCGAATACACAAGGGGTATTTGACCGACCATAAAGGCTTAGTACCTGGGACTTCCTAGACAGCGGCGGGAGTCTTAGCCCTTTATTGGGCAGCTACCGGCCAATAGGGTATTATCTCGTCCACGTTTAGCCTGCTTCATTGGGTGCTTGGAACTAAGGGCTGACCTCGAACAACGAACGCGCTGCTGAACGGTACCTTGAGTGACAGGTCTTCAGGACCTCCCAGAATGATGTTCCGGTCACGAACCCGAGGTGGGTCCACGCCCCAATGCTTAAGTCGTCAAACTTGAGTCGAAAGCTCCGGTCAGGGTTCGCGAAGGAAAACCCCTTCATCGGTGTGCGCTGCCGCGATGTGTATCGTGTTCTTAAGTCTCAGGTGCCCATTTGGAAAACTTCCTGTCACTCTCATTTATTAGATGCCTCCTGTTTGCGACGCTTATGTGATATCGTTCACCGTTCGACTAGCAAGGTCAACCAACCTTAAACTATCAGATTGTCGAATCCAAAATCTCCTTTCCACTTAACCGCTCACTATAAGATCAATTAACAACAAGTTACATTAGCTGGAACCCGTGAAAATTTTGATACAGATGTATGCTGTTTTTCCGAAACATGTACAAGTCTCTACTTCAGTCTTCACCTTGCGATTTCTAGTTTCGACCTCATCCTCGTGCTTCACTCTCCCTGCGTTGGGCGATCCTTTTTCCGAGGCTTGCAGTTCTGCTGATGTCGAGATAGCGTTAATTGTCAGTGCCTGACGTTCACTGCTTGACTGGGTTTTCATCAGTAGCCGAATACACTGCAAGTCAGTGGTTCTGCTCGGGTCAACAGCAACAGAGCAAAGCGTCGGTGTATGTTCCGACTGCAGTTCTTCAGAAATGAAGGATGAATTATACAACGACCGTAACTAGTCCACGTACATCGTAGTAATCACGGGAATTCGATTCTCAATGGGCATCTCTGGGCTAATCAGAAAGTCTTCTTTGGGGTCCATATACAATCCCAACCCGCCGGACGGACAGAAGAGATCCCCATCACCATGAGACTGCTCCTTGACGTGGTGCGATGACTCGTGACCCAACGAGCTCCACGAGATGGCTTTTATCAAACCAGAAGATCTTATCATGCCTGGGAGGTCAGACAAAGTCCAGTCCATAGGTTGAGGTCTCGATTCGAGTTTGTGTCTCAGTCGGTAAAATGGTAGAGGGGTAATCGTTCCAACTAAAGAAACCTCTACTTGTCTTTGCCTGCTGCCTTGCGGTTAGGTTCTTGTTAGAGCTAAAGGCTTTGGAGGAGAACCCTAAATCTCCTGTTTAGTGGCTAAATACACAGGCATCATCCGTCCGTCGAGCTCTAATGCATACACACTAAATAATGCAGTACTGCATCGATCGTCATGCAGGATAATCGGGACCGCGCTATTCATTGCATTGAGCTGGGTGGGTAGTGATGAGTGGGCTACTGCTCAGATGTCCCGACCATTGTTTATCTCTTCCGTACCCAACTCTCGTCTTTCACCCCTTACGACCCGTAAAATTCCCTCAGACAAATTTTTCGTCACGCGACAAAGTTCGTTACCAAGTAGCGCTGTAAGTAGTTTACCACAAAATAGACTGCAGATTCTGAAGCCTCATCAATCACTGAATCTGGGGACCTTCGACGTAAGGACCCTTGTGCAGGTTAATCAACAGGCGTGTCTAGCGCACACAATGGAATCTTCCGGAATTAATGTCTTCTGTTTATCGGAGACGCGGATCCACGATCCTAGTACTACAAGCCACTCGATTGCACCGGAGTTGTCTTCCAGCCCGTTCTGTAGACCAGTGTAACATAGGCATTATAATCAACAATACGGCCCATCACGACGAGACTGCACCTTGACGGTGTGATATCCGGCGTGCCTCCATGACCCTGCGAGCTATACAGAATGGCTTCTCACAGCCACAGACCCAATCATGCCTGAAAGGCCAATGGGTAGAGGCCAGACGAAGATCAGTCTCACAAGGCCAGCTGCTTGGGCACCTGGCTTCCTTCTATCCACACCCGTCCCTGGAGAGGTTACTCCAGCAAATAAACACGATGAGAGGCAGTTTACCGGTCAATAAACCCCACTAGATGGACGTAGGAGCGGGGTACCTGCCTTGCGGGTCAGACTTTTCAGTCAAAGGCGCCGGTTAGGGTTCCCAAAGAAAAACCCCTTCGTCGGTGTGGGCAACCGCGAAGTATGCAGTGCCCTAAAGTCTTAGGCACCCATTTGGAAAAACCTCCTTCCCATCTGTCTAGTTCTTCCTCTCAATCCCGAATAATCCCAAACGCCTGCTGTTTACAATACCTATCGGATATCACTCAGCGTTTTACCAACAAGTTCAAACAAGCAGAAGTTACAGGATTTTTGAAGCCGAAATTCACTTTTCACTTAACCACGTTCAATGTCCGCACACTCTATCAGGTCGGTCAACAAGCTGCCTTAGTTGGAACCCTTGAAACTTTCAATTTAGTTGTATACTGTGTCTCCGAAACACGTATACAAGACCCCACTTCCATTATCTCCCGGCGTTCTCCTGATCCAACCTCAATCTTACGCTTCACTCTTAGTGTGTCAGGCGATTCGGCGCCCGAAGCTCGCGGTGATGCTGGTGTCGGGATTGCGCTAAGTGGCAAGGTTAGACACTCGCTTCTCGACTGGATTCCAGTCAGTAGCCGATTGCGTGCCTTACGTCTCAACGGTTCAGCGTGGGTCAACAGCTATAGAACGAAGCGTCTATGCCTATCCGTCGTGTCAGTGTATGCATCAACTGATTGCAGCACACCTGAAATCGAGAATGAATTCTACAGGGACCTTGTTGGACTACTCCAATGCGTTCGATCAACGGACATCGTGGTAATCGCCGGAAACTTCAATGCTTAAGTGGGATCCCTGGACGAATCAGAAGGGCTTCTTGGTGGACCACATGCAATCTTAGCCAACCGGACGGACAACGGCGATCGCCTACTTCAACTCTGCACGGACCACGGATTGTTTCTGTCAAGCACGAGCTTCTCGCACAAGAAACAACATTGCGTTATATGGAAACCGCCAACCTCTTCACTGCGCTAGACCCAAATCGGTCACATCGCTATCAGTTACCGTTGGAGGGGATCGATTTGAGACTGCCGCTCTT